CCACTGCAGCCCAGGGGATCCCGTCCCGGGGAAACCCGAGTCTGGTTTCCGTTTTCGTTTCTTTTTCTGGGGTGCCCGAAACAGCCAGGCGGTCGGTGTGTTGAGAGGAGGTAGAGCCGACGACGGCGTTGCTGACCACCCGGATTTGGGGGGACTCTCTTCAGGGCCGGGTTCAAGGGGAGCCTCCTTCTCCTCACTTTTGTCTTTCTGACCGCCGTTAAAGAAAAACAGCCCTTGGAAATCGACTTGTGTTCCATTTATTACATTAAAAACCAAGAAAGCGCTACGTGTGGGGGTTTGTTCCACGAAGTTAAAAGGAACAGTTTTGGAGGGTAAACTCCTCAAATACCCAGTCGCAACATTTATTTAGAGCCAGTGTACGAGCCTGTTTAAGAATTACAGAATGAGGCGGGGAAGGTAAGCTCAGATGATCTTAATTTGATGTATAAAAGCCAGAACTAAATGGTCTGGAACCTTTCTCTCTATCCTGCTTTTGATTTTGAACAGATTAGATTTAGGTAGCCATTTAATCATAATGCCACTATTTGATTACTCCATGGTATTTGGTCCGCTGTATCCAGAGGAATCATTTGTTTTTAGAAATATATTCTCAAGTTAGTTTCCATATAATCTTAGGATAGAAGGTTTTGGAATGCTTATTTAGGGACACAAATTTTTCAGATGATCCTAAGTTAAAATTAATTTGTCTTTGTTAGAAGAAAATGGCTCACAGCCAGAAATGCAGTATATAGGAAATCTTTGTTTACATTAATTGAATGCTATTAAATATTTTCAGTTGAATTCATGAATTAAACGATAGAGGATCCTTGCATTTTCTTTTCAAATTCGAGGCACATGGAGCAGTCCTGATTTTTTTTTTTTTTTTAGTGTAGCATCTACTGATGGGTCAGCTTCTTCCTATTTCTCATTCATGTGCTCAGACTTGTTCCCAATTAGAAAGCATCGTTTCTGTCGCGGCAGGTTTAGATTTGGAAATGCCCAGCTGCAGGGAGGCGGGGTTTCGGAAATACACTAATAAGATGAATCAAGTGCAAGTCCATTTCTAAGTGTGGGGGTTGAGGAAGGTTAAGTGCCGTCCAGGCCACTGCCTGTCATTTCAGCAGTGGTCTTTCTTCCTACACCATTACTGACAAGAACCTTGCACACGGCTTCTTCCTTCGTTAACCTCGACTGTTAAAATATTCTTCCTTATAAGGCGCTGAAATCAGTTACTTTCTAACTTCTTTCCACTGATCCTGTTTGTACCTTATAAGACACTAGAAAACGAATTCTTTTTTAGATCATGACAGTTTGAACTTTTCACATTTGGGTATCTGAATATACGCATTTCTTGTAGATGTGGACTGTCTTGTCCCTGGATTCCTGGCCATTCTCATAATCAAGTAGGCTTTCCTGAAATAGGCCTCAACTTCATGCTCATTGAATGACTAAATTAAGTTAGCCATTATGTTCCTCTGAGCTCTTGTTTTACAAATCTATTTATAAATCTCCAACCCTTTTGCTTTCCCTTAGTGTTATTAGTGTCTGCACTCCTAACATTTGCCAGTATGCCCCCTGGAAAGGTGGCCTGTATCCCAGTTATGGTCTGATCTGTCCAGTGCGGAACTCCACTACCACCTCCTGTCTTTGCGATACTGCTCCTGCTTCTGCTAGGACACATTAGTTCTTTGGATCCTCACATCTCACATACTGAGCTTGCTGCTGTCAGGCTGACCTAAACTTACTGTCAGCAAAGAGCCATTAAAGTTGCTTTAAAAAAAAAAAAAAAGTGTGGCAGTTAAGCCACACCTTGCCCATCTCACAGTTATAGTTAAATTTCTGGACACAGGTACTGATCTCTTAGGTATTTTTCTCTATTACGTTTTATTTTAGGAGAATCAGCCCATTTTTCTGACTTACTGGAGTGTTAAAATCCTGGCTTCTTTATACTCTATATTAGCTATTCTTCCTAAATTAATGTCATGCACATATCTGATGCCAACAGCACTGCAGTAACCTTCTATGTCTTTCAAGTTACAGATAGAGTAGTTTAGCAGGAGAAGGCCTGAGACTTGCTGGTACACTTGCCCTTCACATTGATAGCCGTTCATTAATGGGTACTTGTTATTAAGTTAGTGTACACCGTAACTACACTTCAGTGCACTACCACCCATTCTGTGTTCTTATGTCCATTGTGGGCATGATAAGAACCTGGTCAGATACCTTGTTGAAATTCAACCCACACAGTATTTTTATCGCTTCTTTCTGACATGATATACATACTTGATTTTAAAAAGACTTGAATCTGGTTCAACTCTGGTTGTTTCCACAAATGTTTACCATTTTCTAAGTGCTTAGAAGCTTATTTTAAGTAAATAATCCAAATTTAGAAAAGGATGGATGTCAAGTATACTGGATTGTGGTAGGCAGTTCTTTCAGGTTTTTTAAAATAATCACACTCATGTTCATTTATTCTTTTTTCGTCTTTAGCCCGACTCTGGTTCCCCCTGCCTTCTGCACAGGAGCAGGTACACAATCCTGTTCACAAGGAGCTGTGCTATTCAGAGTAGCCAAGTCCTCTGCTAATCTCCTTGTCTGATTGGGCACAAATCTTTATACCTATTTTTTTTTCTTTTCTTTTTTGCCCAAGTAGCATTTTTCTGGACGAGAAACAGAGTTAATGTATTTGAGAAGTTCTGTTTTCTCTTTTTTTGGCATTTGTGCCACATGTCAGTCCTAAGCATGTTTGTCTAATTCTGTTGCACTTGACACGAGCAAGTTCTCTTTATGAGACATTGTTATGGAAACAGGATACAAATGTGGGTGCAGCTGTCTTCTGCGCTGTAAACAGAGTCTAAGGGCATGATCCACGTTGAATTAGTTTTTGTAATTCTTTTAAAATCACAAATGATATGTTTGTTCACCAAATCTTTGAAAATGATAAAATGAGGGAATTCCTACTTGCAGAAGGGAGATACAGAATAAAGAAAGGAAATTCAACTTAGTGCGATGGTGCATGCCTGTAATCCCAGCCAGCACTCAGGAGGCTGAGGCAGGAGGATAGCTTCACAGGCTTAGACCCTGTCTCAAAAACAAAACAGTAAGTTCAACACTATATGGATGATGTTAAAGTCATGAAATGTATAGCCTTATGAAATAGAAAAAAGTACACATGTTTGTAAAATACATGTAAAAGTGTACATATTCATAGAGGCAGTGCCTGATGCATTATTACATGATTAGTGAGTTTGGGTAATGGCTGATTTTTAAGGATCATGTCTGTGTCAGTGTATCAGTTTGTTGGGTTGAATCAGCCATGATTAATCTGTTACTTAATCTTTTCCCAGTAAGGAATGATACTGGATTGAATTAATGAGTGAAAATTATAGGAGGTATTTTGAGGGGAAAGGACATGGCTTAACTATTGAAGAGGGATGGGAAGTAATCATACGCAAAAGTAGATTTTTGTATAGGGAGTAGACAGATTATTTAGCAGGAAGAAATGTAGAGATGGAAGTAAGTGGGTGGACTTGAGAGATATTTCAGGTAAAAAAAATCTAAGCTTGGTTAGACTCAGGCAGAGTCAGAGCAAGGTTATTAAGGATAACTTCTAGAAGCCTGCCTTTT